ATTTTAGGACCGTTTTTAGATTGCTTTTAAAGGTCTTAAGAGAGCATTTGAATGTGTTTTAAAATGTTTCTGTCTCTCCATTGTTTTTATTGCTTTCGTTTCTCGGTTGTCCCAAGTGCCCTTGTGGGCTGGGAGGTGATACAGAAATATCTTCAATCAATCATTCAACCATAAGGATGATTAAAACTTATAAACAAATTAGAACATGATATGATTGTTTTATAATACGATACTACAACTATGGAGACAAGGTGTCAATTCCCTGTTCAGCCATGGAAACCTATTGGGGTGACCTTGGGTAAGTCACACTTTCTCAGCCCCAGAAAACTCCATGGTAGTTCCACCTTAGGATTGCCATAAGTCGGAAACCCACTTCAAGGCACACAACAACAGCAACAATGGCAGAGAGCTGTGGTTGAAAGCAAGCAAGCTGGGACTATAGATGTAGGAGCGGAATCAGGGAGAGCAGAATCAAAGGCAAAGGGAAGGAAAAGATTATGAAATATCAAGACCTACAAACCGAGATTCAGCACCTCTGGGAAAAGAAAACAAATGTGGCTCCAGCAGCGATAGGTACTCTGGGAGTCATTCCAACTGGACTGACAAAGTGCGTGAATGAAATCACCACAGATAGGATCACAATACCACAATTATAAAAAAGCAACCCAGTGTGGAATATGTTAGATTTGCCAATGATATCCAACTGATTCCTCAATTCTTGGATAGAATCCGAATCATTAATGGTCCAAAACTGCAGTTGGTAACACCTGGTAGACTTGTGAAATAATAATAAATAATAATAATAATAATAATAATAATAATAATAATAATATAAAAACCAATCAACCAGCCAGCCAACCAGCTACCCAACCCACACAAAAAGTAATAGCTTTTACCGTACTTTTGCAAGCAACAACTTTTCTATTCTGACAGGCATTTGATGAGTGATGATATAAGGCCCATTTTATGCAATGTGCTGGATATTGCTAATTGTGCTGCTGTGTGCATGTGTTTTCATGATACGTGTTTTCAGTTGGTTCTAAAAAAAAATTCTAATTTTTAAATTGTGTTTTACATTTTGTGTTTTGTCGATATTTAACAGAGGACTTTATCACATGGGAAAAAAAAAAGATGGGAGCATAGAGGTATGCTCCCATCAATATTGTGCAATAACGCAAAGATTTTCACATGACGTCACACGATGTTATTGCGGGATATTGCTGGGAGCTTAGTGCTATGCTGTGTCTTTTCTCCCCGTGTGATAAAGTCCAATTTTTTTTAAATTGTCGTAAGCTGCCTTGAATCCCAATCTGGGAAAAGGTGGGATAGAAATAAATAAATAAATAAATAAATAAATAAATAAATAAATAAATAAATAATATACTGATGATGATGCAGACCTTTTTGTTTCACCAAACTTTTAGGTGAACTGGGTGTGGTGGGGGATGGGATGAGTGGGAGGTGAAAAATGGCGAAAGCCAAACTCTGGAGTCTCCATCTGATTACAGTCTTCATCAGTTAAGACTGATCAATTAACATGGAAAGTAATAAGAGATTGCACACAGTCACATTATGCTCTACCAGGAACTGAGATGATACCTGGGGTTCTCCCCATGGCTTTTGGAGAACCTGGAAGCTTGCATAGTGTTTTGTAACCTTCCAGTTTGTGTGATGAAACGTATTGCTCCAACATAATTTTTTCCGGCACCGTCCTGACAGCATTCATTTAGTTCAGCAGTCGATAGCGATAGATCTCAGCTTGGAAAAGTCACTTTTTGGGCAGAATTCTCCAGCAGCAAAGCCTGCAGCCATGTAGTCCAAACAGTAACTTTTCTAAACTCTGGATCTTCTGGAATTGTGTGGCAATTGGCAAGGGATTTGTGGCAAATTGTTTGATCATAACCAGAATCGAACATGCACATACGGGTGAGGGGAGACGGTGCTGAAAAGAACAGTGTTTGGGGAACCAGAAGTGACTTTTTGTGTGGAAGGACTGTGAATCCTGTTCAATACTCACCATGTAACAGTATCAGACCTTGCAACATTTGACAGATGAAAACTGGGACACATGTGGCCAAACAGCATCAGTTACTCCTAATTAATAACTTTTGCCATTTTGACCGCATGATGGCCACACCGACTCTGCCTCGACGCTGCATGCCCATCCGCACGGCGCACAGCATCAGGGTGCCCTCTTGGTGCAGTGTGCATACACGCTGCGGCAAAAGAGCATAAAAGAGCCGCAGCGACAGCTCAAAGGGCGACTTTTTGCCATCCCCAAAAGGAGCAGCATTTGCCCGCTCTTTTGGGGGGTGGCAAAAAGGAGGATCGGGGCTGTGGAGTGTGGTTGCTGTGGCCCCAATCCCCCACTCCAAAGGGTGGCCCGGAGCTGCCCCTATGGGCCATCTGCATCAGCCCTTAGACTGTTGTACTTTGGACACATCATGAGAAGGCAAGAATCATTGGAAAAGACCATAATGTTAGGAAAGGTGGAGGGAAGCAGAAAGAGAGGAAGGGCACTTGCTAGATGGATGGACTTTATTAAAGAGACCACGAATGTGAGTTTGCAGGAGCTGAGCAGAGCAGGAGAGGACAGGGGGCCTGGAGATCTCCCATCCATAGGGTCACTGCCATGGGTCGAGATCGATGCGAAGGCAGTTAACAAACAAAAAAAAACCAAAAAAAAAGGCCAGCTCTGCCCAAGCAGAGCTTGAAGAGCTTCCTTTAAAACACCCTCCACACCCTACAACTTCCAGAATCCTCCAGCCAGCGTGGCAACCAGAAACGTCAGTCCAAAAAAGAAACTCTTCTAAGCCTTAGTTTTTTGTGGGTTTTTTTGGGCTGCGTGGCCATGTTCTCATAGAATCATAGAATCATAGAATCATAGAGTTGGAAGAGACCACAAGGGCCATCCAGTCCAACCCCCTGCCAGCCACAGATGCTGGCGAAACGTCAGAAATAAACTCTTCTAGAACATGGCCACGCAGCCCGAAAAACCCACAAAAAACTATGGATGCCAGCCATGAAAGCCTACGTCTTCTAAGCCTTGCCTAAGAGTATCGTGAGACATCCCTTCCCTTCAGCTTTCTCAATTGTAACTGAGTGAAGGCCTGCCAAATGGCACTGGGCCGTTCCCCCATCTTGCCGATCTGTGGGCCAGGTGTTGCTTTGACAGGTTCATGCAACAGTTACACATGTTTTGCTTGTGTAAGCAACTGTTCAATAAAGGAACATATCACCACTAGTGCTTAAAGGTGTTATTTTATCCTTCGTACCCTGCAGGATGAAAGGAACATGCATGCTGCCCATGCTAGTGTTTTGCATAAAGTATACATTCAGATGATTAAGACTGAGCCATAGTTCTTCCT